ACCAGGTCTCCTCACTAGACTTGGAAGTCCATGTCCTGTCCACTCTGCCACAGTGTCTGCTACACCTCTGTCAGAGTACATGGCCACTGAGTTGTTGTATTTCCTCATCACCTTTGTCATTGGGATTCATTCTAGAGTAATGCTTGGCATATGGAAGGAGCTCAGCATAGTCACAGAATGAAGCCTGGAATGAATCTACACAAGAGACACTGGGTCAGCCTAAGCCTCTAGTTGAGAATGGAGCTTAAATTACAACCTTTGCTTTCTAAAACGCATTTACTGAATGCCAAGTGTGTGCCTGAAACAATGCCAGCTCCTCACTGCTCCAACCCAGGCTGCAAACCCTACTTACACATTTGTCACATGGCAATAGCCTTCAAAAGATCAGAAGGAACCCAAGGGCTGCCTCTGCCTAACAGGTCCCAAAGAAGATGTGTGTTTACATAACCCAGTCAATTCTGTATTTATTTTGGATATTAAACAGCAACATAGAAGCTGCTGACATTAACCTTCAGGGGCAGAAATTGGTTTAATGGACCCCATAAAAGTTATTATTGATGGCAGCTGCATGTGATATCACTGTGACCTCAGCAAAAGCCTCCACTGCTATCAATACTGGTGACAATTACTATTGACTAATGCAAGGTCAAGTTAATGCTCTGTGGCTGGAGGTTGCTGGGGTTACATCCTGTGTTTCATATGTATCTGGTAAGGGTCTCTGAGAACTTGGTCAAACATTCTTGGTGGTCTCAACTGAAAATTCAGTATACTTGTTGACTTAAATGGATGGGGGCAAAGGACTCAGATAAGATACCTGAGTTCAAATCCACACTGTGTTGATTTACTGCTATAGAATCAACAGTTGACCTTGTTGGAGCCTCATTTTTCCCCATCTGGGACTTGGGAATATCATAGAATTGCCATGAGGATTATAGATACTCACAGATACAAAGAGGCATGGTAGATAGTAGGCCTTCAGTGTGAGGTTGCTTGCTTCCCTCTACTGAAAAGTAGCCACACTGTTTATGCTGGCTAGCAGTTCGAAGTGTAAGTAAGCCCTGTTCTGATCTTTGATGATCTGCAATCTGTCACAGAAAGCGGAAGATGGATGGATGGATGAAAAGGAGAGGGGGGCAGCAGAGAATGATGGAAACAGAGCCTGGCTCCAGCTGAGCTTCACACCTGCCTCTCATTCCTTGGCCTTGGTTTCCTCAAAGAGCATTGTAAATCTAATTAATGAATAAACGCAAGTCATTGGTATGAAAACTGTCATTATTTTGTTTTTGTTTAGTGCCACTGAGTTGGTTCCAACTCATAGTGACCATGTATAGGTTTGATGGCTGAGTTTGAACGGCTGACCTTGTGGTTCACAGTCCAGTACTGATCTTACAGCGCCACCATTATTTAGACCTGAGTGTTACAAAACCTTGAATATAAATAACTTCCCAACTGGGAGCAAGAAGACACACATGTGGGAACATTTGGAGTATATGGGTTTGGGGAGACCAAGTCAGGAAGGGCTATGGAGGCAAGGGGCCTTCTCACCTCTGGTGCTTGCCCATCTTCTCTGAGTACAACAAGCTTTAGAGTGCCATGGCTAGAGTGGACATGGATGATTTGGAAGAGAATGACATGATCAGGGGAAGCAGGTGACCATTTCCTCATCTCCATGACCGAAGGCAGAAACTCTTCAAGCTGGCTTCATACGTCAGAATCAGCCAACAGAGGCTTAATTCAGCTATAATTCAGCCCTCAGGGAATATCCAATCATGTGGGCGCTATGTGTCTCACTCTATGATGATTTCATAGGAAACCGATCATTTGTCATATGGCAAGAAGCCTTCAAAAGAGCAAACAACCCAGGAATTTTGCTGCAGAGAGAATTAACTATAATAACTAGAGCTATAAGCACGAGCAAATTGCTCAATAAGCAAGATAAGCACGGGCTTACTTGTACTTAATTACTAATCTATAGTGAACAGTCTCATGTGAAGCTATTCACTATAGATCATTAAGTAAGCACAAGTAAGCCTGGGCTCACCTAGCTTACTGAGTACTCTGTCCTAGCCAGGGACTGTAAATTTGAAAAGAGGCTTTGATTCTGTAGCAAGGTAGTGTGGGGCTGGGAGAGGGACATTCCAACCAGACCTATATGCAGAATCTTTGATGTGGTGGAAAACGGAGAAACTGTTCCCTGCAGATTAGTAAGGACCCCTGTGCATTGTCATCCCGCAAAGAGCCCACATTTGTAGTCATTCACTTAGAACCTAGCATCTCAGATCTAGAAGGGCTTGCAGAAACTCAGCTCAGTTATTCCCTAAAAGTGTTTTAGGATACAAGTCCCACTAGATGTGCTGAGAATAAGAAGTTCTGTGGTCAAAAAAATCAGGAAAATTTGTGTATCTCTCTCCTTGTTGGTTAGTACATACTGAATGAGTCCTGGCTTGGTGCTGGAGGATAAGCACTCAACTGCAAGGTCAGTTTGAACCACGAGGTTGGAGGTTCAAACTCACCAGCTGCTCCTCAGAAACCTCTGCAGGGTCTCTGTGCATAGGAACTGACTTGATAGCACTTAACAACAACAAAAGCCTATTAGAGACTCCGAGAAATTCTGCAGTCAAGAATCCTGTTTAAATGTGGTTAACCCAGTGTAAACCTACACCATCTGATCATAGCACAAACCACACCCCTACATCTAAGACATTTCCCTCCACTCCCTATTCTCAAAGGAACAATGGGAGCGTAGTAGGATACGATTTGGGCTGCTAACTGCAAAGTCAATAGTTGAAATCTACCAGTCTCTCCTCAGGAGAAAGATGAGGCTTTCCTCTCCCATAAAGGTTTGCAGCCTCGGAGACACTAAACTGGGTCACTGTGAGTTGGAACTGACTCCACGGCTTACTACCACCAGCACCACCCCATATTCTCAGGCTAAAGGAGCCTTGTTGGCAGAGTGGTTAAGTGCTTAGCTACTAACCCAACCAGTTGTTGGGGTTCAAACCTACCAGTTGTTCTGTGGATGAAAGATCCCAGCCATGGGAACCCTATGGGAACACTATGAACTGACTTCATGGCAACGGATTTTATTCTCAGGATACAGGAAATGCTGATCTCATTAAACCTTTTTATTTTATAGACAAAGAAACTGAGGTCCCGAGAAACGATGGAGTTCCTCCAATGCCACACCACGTGTCAGTGAAAGACTTGGAGTAGAAATCAGGCTTCCTACCTCCTAATCAGTATCATTTATAGGTCTCCTCCTACAGAACAGTGCTTCAGTTCAGTGGGGGGACATGGAGAGGAGGGACTGCTGGCTGGCTGGGTGGGGTCATGATGGGAAGGTGGGTGAGGGAGTGCAGATGGTCCCACGACAGAGACGAAAACCTTCAAGTGTTCAGATCTTTTGCCCCCTCACTGGCTCGGCTGGGGGTCAGGAGACAGTGACACTTGCAAGCCAGTCTCTAGCATCTGCTGCTCCCTTACCCCTGGAAGGACCCAGGCTGCTTAGGAAACCATCTGACTCATCTGGGAAGGGTAGCAGAATAGACCTTACCTACTCTTCTGCCTGATTCCACATCTGGGGTTTGGTCCATCATAACTCAACTAGAGCCTTCTTTTCAGTGACTATTTTCCACATCCTCATCTTTGACCTGATTCCTGCCTGGCCCCTGAGGCAGTATGAATCACCAACCCCAAACCCACTGCCATTGTGTCTATTCAGATTCACAGTGACCCTGTACAGGGTTTCTGAGACTATAAATCTTTACAGGAATAGAAAGTTTCATTGTCCTCCCACAGAGCAGCTAGTAGATTTGAACTGATGATCTTGTGGCAAGCATTCCAGTGCTTATCTTACAGAGTTACCAGGGGCTCCTTTTGTTGTTAAGTGCTGTTGAGTTGGTTCCGATTCATAGCGATCCTGTATAGGGTTTCCAAGCAGCAGCTGGTGGGTTTGAACCACCAACCTTGTAGTACAAACAGATCTTGAGACCCAGTTATCCTATAGCGCCACACTGGAACTGCTTTTAGGGACCTGCATTTGGAGCTGGAAACCAGAAAGGGACACCGGGATCTGACTTGGTTCTTTTGTTCTAATCCATAACTCAGATATAAAAGCACCAACAAACCCCCCTCACTTCCACTGGGCTTCCAATAAACAAAGCTGTCCAGCCCCCAGCCAGCATCAGGAGCCCCCTCAGGAACAACCAGGGTCAGCAAAGGTGTCTGGAGCTATTCAGGCATAAAATACCACAGAAGCACCTACAGAGCTGCTCTGAAGCTACGGAACCCCTCAGAGATCAGCCAATAAAGCCCACAGCAAAGCAGGACAACCGTGAACCAGGGTTCCTTCTCCGCTACCATAAGAAGGAAACATGTGAATTCACTGCCATTTCCTCCTCCCACAGTATCTCTGGTCTTGGAAGAAATTGTGGCAGGGATAGGAGTAGAACTAGGTCAGAGACAGCACCTCCAAACAGTGTGATGAGGTCATGGGGAAGCTGGAGCGAACCCTCAAGTTTTAGGTTATTTCAACACGACAGAATTTCTGTTTGGAAGCTATCCTCTGATCAACCCAGGAAACTCAGGTGGGATAGTGCCCAGGGCAACTTCTCAGGACTGCCAAGCATGTGGAGGCTGGAGACTGAACAAGCAGGATTCCGGCAGGACCGAGGCAGTGCCGATGTCACGGTGGACATGCTACCAGAAGAGGCTTACGGCTGGCCCCAGTTCCCTCCCTCTGACACAAGCACCTCACAAACCTTAAGCCAGCACTTAAGTCTCTCTCCAATCTGCAGGAAGGAGCAGTGACCCGTCTCTGGCAGGTCACTGATGGATGGCTATTACACTTGGCTATGCAAAAAGGCTTTTGACCGCAAAGAGCAAAGCAATTTTTTCACCAAATTCACCAGAGCCCCAAGGCTGGAGCAGAAAATCAATATTGTAATTCAAACCCCAGCCCGGTGACCTGATGTCTGGCCTGGGCCAAGTGGGCCACTCACCCGTCTCGGTGTTCTCATGCTCCGTGTCAGTGAGCGTGAGGTTGGAGTTGGCCCGGCTGGACAGACAGGAACTGCGGCCTGACCGTGTGCTCCGGCCCCACAACCGCACGGGGTGCTCAGGAGACAGGACGGTGTCGGCTTCCATGTCGGCATCAGAGCTGGCTCCCAAGGAGTAGCCACAGTGGGGGAGGCCGATGTCGGTCCGGTACAGGGTCCCATGAGGGGGCGTCACCTCTCCAAGCCCCAGCTCCCGCAGCGTAAAGTTGGTGCCTAAGAGGAAACACAGGTGAGCTTGGTTATACTGCTGAGACGGTTAAGCTTCCTACCAAGAGCTGGACTCCTTTCCCCCAAGGCTTAGTGTTCTGTGAACTCAATGAGGTATTCCATGGCCCACGTCTTTGCTCAAGCTGTTTGTTCTGCCCAAAGTGTTCATCCTGCTCCTTTCCACCAGCCCAAATCCTCCTTTAAAACCCAACTCACAGGGCACTTCCTCTGTGAAGACCTCTCTAATACCTATTCCCATTACAGAATGAATCCTTTCTTCCTGTGGGTCTGTCTCCCCAGCTGGAACACCACCTCCACAAAGCCAGGGACCATGTTTTACTCATCTCTAAATCCCTGTGCCTCAAACAAAATCCCATACTCAGCAGGGGCTTGATTAATGTTTGTTAATTAAATTGTGGGTTTCAGGTCTCCTCTTCCAGTTCAGGGAGGGCTTGCCAGCAAGCAGCACGGCTAAGCAGGGACCACAATGTCACAAAATGCTCCCTGGGATCCCAAGTTCCTTTCTGGCCAGGTCAGGAAAGCCCAGAGCATGAAAGTGAAGAAGTTGGACTTGTACACAGGAAATCAACTGCGCCTTCCACTTCCTCACACCAGCTGGGATATGATGGGAATCAGCGCACAGTCAAAGCCGGGCCACTGATGACTGGGTCTAAGGAGGGCTCTGGAAGCCTTAGCATTGGCCAAGCCTGAAGTCTGGGGAAGACACAGATGAGGCACGTTCACCCCGGGATTAGTATTCAAATGAGAAAATGGTTACATTCACTGTAAAAGACAATCTTGGTGTTACTCCGGAATGTTCATGTATTCTCTATTCAGGGACTGTGTCTCCCATGTTTCTTACATTACTGGGAGTGTTTTGTGGGGCGGGGATTCAAGAGAGAGGTGGACAAGGCACAGAGGGCCATATCCCAATTAAACCAATCATCTGGGAAATGGATTTATAGTCAGGTGGTTGTGTGCCGGTCAGTCAATTCTGACTCCTAACAATAGAAATAAACTGTCCCATAAGGCTTTGTTGGCAATCATCTTAGCAGTGCAGCCCAGTCTGTCTTCTGCTGACCTGCTGGGTAGGTTTTAATCGCCAACCTTTCAGCCAGCAGCTGAGTGTCGACCTGTTGCACCACCAGCATTCCTGTACACTGAGGAAACACCTACATATACAACAACTCTAGCTGCCCTGGGCCCTCGCTGGAGATTCAGCAATGACACAGGCACAGTGTTTATCTTTACAGAGCCATAGTCAACTGGAGAAGAGAAACCCAACTGGAGAAGATAAACCCAAAACACAATCAGAGGCTAAAGTTGAAAGTAGCAAGATCCATGGGCATTGCTTTGAGAGGTGGAAGTTGGGACATCTGGGTGGGGAACTCAGAGGAGAACATTTTGGATGATAGTGAATGTGCAAACAGATTAAGAAGAGAGAAGAGGTACAGGCTGGCCAGAATGTTCCAGGAGTCTAGCAACCAAGGGGCAGGATTCAAGGGGACAAAGCAGCAAAGGAAAGCAAGAAGGAAGTGCTAAAGAAAACATCCTATTATAATTTGTGTGTGTCCCTCTTAGCAAATAAACCCTATGCTCTCTAAATGTCATACTCATCTCTGTGTCCACCACCTACCACACTTGGTGCAAAAGCAAGTTCTCAATAAACATTAGTTAAATTAGCAGGTAAAGAAATATATACACTGGCCTGACTTTGGAGGATGGCTAAGGGGAGAGGGAAGATGAACAGGAAAACCCAATTAAGACACTGCTGAAATAAAAGCTGCAGAGGTCCATTGTACAGTGGGAAAGGGGTACCCTAAGCTTGGTATGCCAGTGGCACAGCCTCCAAAAATATTTCCATACTGTTTAATGTACAGGTGATGTCTGAGCCTCCTCATACTGAATGCTTACTCCCCTCCCCCTGCCATGTCTCCATGGCCAGTAACTAAACAGCAATGGACTATAGGCTCTTCTCTAAAAGGCAAACAGATATTCTGATGGGCCAGGGTCTGGCCAGGCCCAATGTTAAATCTTTTCAATATCACCCTTTTGGTTCACACTTTACTATCCTATTTTGGTGTCTCTCTCAGTAAAATAAAGCCCACACAGGAGTCTAGATTACCTCATGTGCTTCCTACCTCCTCTGTACACATTCCCTGGCGGTGACTCTGTTTGCCTCCTCATAATTTCCACTCCCCACCCTGTCTTGAACACCCATACTCTCCCCTTGTCCATCCCACATATCAGTGCTCCACTGGGTTGGCTCTCAAGAGAGACTGCTTACATGTTATCAAGAGGGACTGCTACATTAGGTGAAAACTAAAATGTATTTGCAAGAACCAGCCTGGGCAATACTCATTTCCACACAGCCTGCCCAGAACATCTTTTCAGGCCTTCAGACTGAGCATCAGTGTGAGTGAACAGAGACATCCTGGCGCAGAAGAAGCACAAGGTGGCTCTTGTGATACGGGAGTTTGGGAGATTTATTTATGAAATGTAAGACGTCTTCATGGTCTGTTGGCTCCTTTAGTCTCTTTACTGTGGAGCCTAGGACTCACTGGATGAAAGAACGGTGATCTTCAAAAAGGTCACAGCTGTGAAACAGCCATGGAGCAGGTCTACTCTGTAGTGTGAGGGTCCTGTGATTCAGAGTCAACTCAATGGCGACTGGTTTGTTTTTGTGTTTGCTTTATTTACTCTAGGCTAGTTACTGCACCAAGTGCTTTATTTAAAGTTCTCATTTATCCTCATGACAACCCTGTTCGCTGTTGAATCGGTTCTGACTCATAACAACCTCGTATAGGGTTTCCGAGGCTTGTAAATCTTTGCAGGTACAGAAAGCTTCATCTTTCTCCTGCAGAGCGATGATTAGGCTCAAACCACCAATCTTATGGTGCCTATCCTATGGAGCAACTGCTCTCCCAGTACTACCCAGGTAAAAAAGCTGAAGTTAGTAAAAATAGCAGAGGCAGAATTCAAATCCACATCTGTTTGATGCCAGTACTTGAGATTTCAACCACACACAGGAACAGAGCTAAAGATCTAAGCTTAGCAGCCTTATTAACGGCTCAACTAAGGCAGGGATCCAGGTTGTATGTGAGAGTGGACATAAGGCTGACACAGGAGGAGGGCACAGGTGTGCTGTCAGGTCATGGGGCTGTGGCTGCAGCAGTGGCCAGCTGCCTTCTGTGGTCACTTCCTCTGTGCCCCAGTCTACTCATATAAAATGGAGATCAGAACCGTTTCTATCTCATGGGGTTGCAGTAAGGATTAAATAACAATGCCAAAAGGCACAAAAATCGCACTGCCCTGTGCCTGGTTAGCCTGGTTTATGGAGGTGGAGGAAAAGGAGAGGAACAGAGGAGAATCGGGGTGGGCTGTAAGAGCCATCAGGCCTCGGTACTGACTGCCCAAGCATCAAAGAAGACTTAAGGCTCTGCAGACAGAAAAGTAGGAATCCTTGAAGCACCTGAGTGTGAAGAATAATAAGCAGTTCAGTGGGGCGGGGTGTGGAGAAGCAGGGAATAAAACTGCCTGGAAAGGCAAAGACAGCTTTGGGAAAAACATTTGCATGTCAACTTGCAGAGTTTAGAGTTCAGTTGAAGGGCACAAGATGGGCTGCAGTGCAGAGAATGGCCCAGAGAGAGCAGCACTGGGTGGAGGAGGGCTTGTAGCCAATCCTCCCAGAGAGACTGAACTGAATTGGAAGAAGACCAATACATGTATTTAGGGTAGGATTACTATGTAGGAAGTGAAGGAGACTGAAGTAGGCACCAGATAGTTCTCAAATTAAGTTTTTGGGTCTACCCATCTCAAGAATGTTTTCTTTTCAAGGTCAGCACGATGCTTGAGACAAAGAAGGTATTCAAGATATGTTGTTGAATGAATAAATCAATGAATAAAAACCAAAAGTAACATTTATTACTTACTTTGTGTCACCCTGCTTACAACTAAAACAGTCCATGTTGGTAAGTCCTAACATAGCTCAATTCAGTAGCTACTATTGATGTTCATTTAATGGATGAGGCGCCTGAGGCTTAGAAGAGATGGTGATGGCTGTGAACTCAAGTCCAGGCAGCTTGTAATGACATCATTATGACAAGGAAGAAGGTGACAGCGAAAGTGAATCACCTGTAGATTACCTATGTTGTTGTTCTTGGGTGCCACTGCCTTGATTCTTATTCATAGCCACGTCACGTGACAGAAAACGGCCCCGTGAGAACTTTATTGAAGATGACCACCCAGGTCTTTCTCCTAAAAAGGCACTGGCTGGGACTGAACCACCAACTTTTAGATTAGAAGTTGAACACTTAACTATTGTACCACCAGGGATGAGTTTACTATGTTGTTGTTATGTGCTGTAGAGTCGGTTCCACCTCATAGCAACCCAGTATAGGGTTTCTAAGGAGCAGGTGAGGTTAGAACAACAGACTGTTGTTCAAACAGACCTTGCAGTCCAGCGCATTCATCCTGAAGCGCCACACCAAGGCTCCCAAAACCCACAGGCTGGCAGTAACAAAACTCTTAATGGATCCCGCACCCCAGAAGCCATACTGTTCACCTGTGTGCACACCGGCATCCAAGCCCCGCCCTCAAGGCCCAGCCCTCACCTGCCCTGCAGAATTCCTCAGCTTCCTGCGGCACTAGGTCCTTGACGCGGCTGCCATAGGCCAGGCGGGCGTCCTGGTCATAGGCCTTCAGGGTCTCGCTGGAGCTATAGGACTTCTGCGGGGCTTTGCCCTCCTCGCTGTCGGCAGATGAGCTGGTGTAGCGTCGCTCAGCATCACGGCGCCTGGTCAGCGAGCGGTATGGCTTCCTCTCCTTCACGTCCATGGTCTCCAGCCCGCGCTCCTCCTCATCCACAAACAGGGTTCTCGCAGCACTCAGGGCAGAATGGTCTGCAGCGGGGGAGAAAAGTTGAAAAGGCATGAGATCCACCTCCAGGAGGCAAAGACAATATGCAGGTCTGTCTATGACTTCAACGGACTCTCCCAGTGGTTCTGCAAGGTGGAGGAAGAACCTCGGGTTCCGAGAGGTGAGGGCAATGTTCCACCACTATGCAGTCGGAAGTAGCCGAGGGAGACTGCCCCCACAGTTTCAGATGATGAATCCTGTCTCTTCCTGGCACTCGGCATATCCACCACGAAGATACTTCAGCCTCTTCCTAAGTGATCAGTATCATGGGAGCAGACAACAAAAGCTAGGGGGTGCTGCTATTCAGTAATCTCCCTCACCAGGAGCCACATCTGTGTTGTTCCCCTCACCTCCCCAGCTGGGACACAGTCTGACATAGAACTGAGATTCCATAAAGATTTGAGAAATGAATGACTACACTCAGGCGCTGGGGTAAGTACTTTGCATATATTATCTCATTAAATGCTCACAGTGGATTGGAGATGTTATTACTATCTCAGATCATTTCCTGAAATGAGCCAAGGTATAAACAACCATCACACACTATCCCCACCAGATACTGACTATGTGATCCTGTTATCTGTCTCCTCTTAGTATTATGTAAGCTCCATGAGAGGAGCCTTGCCTGCTTTGCTCACTCACGATCTAAAGCACATAGAGTGAGGCCTGGCACACAGGAATCAGTAATCAGCCAGTTGCTGTTGAGTTGTTTCTGATGCATGATGATCCCATGTGTGTCAGTAGAACTGTGAAGCCTATTTTCAGTGATCAATTGTGCAGAAGTAGATTACTATGCCTTTCTTCTGAAGCACCTCTGGGTAGACCCAGAGGTCTAAACTTTATGTTAACCATTTGCACCACCAAGAGACTACTGGAGCTCCAGCAAACCTACGGCCATTGAGTTAATTCCAATTTATAGTGACTCCACAGGATAGAGTAGAACTGTCCATAGGGTTTCAAGGCTGTAAATCTTTACAGCAGTAGACTGCCATATCTTTTTCCTGAGGAACAGTCCATGAGTTCAAACTGCTGAACTTTCAGTGAACACTCAAGCATGTGGTCACTGCGACACCATTGGTTTCAAGTACCATGGACTGCCAGAGTAACAGACAAATCTGGTCTGGAAGACGTGCAGCCAGAATGCCCTTAGAAGTAAGGATGGCGAAGTTTCACCTCATATACTTCAGGCATGTTATCAGGAGGAATTTGTCTCTGGAAAAGGACATCAGGCTTGGTAAAGTAGAGTGTCAGTGAAAGTGAGGAAGCCCCCCAGCAAGGTGGATTGACACAGTGACTGCAAGAATGGGCTCAAATGTTACAATGGTGAGGACGGTGCAGGACCACACAGTGTTGTTCATATGAGTCAGAACCAACTCAACTCAGCAGCACCTGGCAACGGTACCATGTGCTTAATTAACCAGCCCTCTCTTACTACACGAAAGTGTTCTGGCAGCTATATTCTCCCTAAACACATTGGCTCTCACCTCCAATTCTTCCATCTCACAGCACTTGGAGGAGACTCACTGTTCACACATATCTCTGGGTATTGCCAGGGTGCTTGCTTGATTTGTTGTTGTTGTTAAGTGCCGTCGAGTCGGTTCCGACCCATAGCGACCCTGTATAGCGTTTCCAAGGAGCAGCTGGTGAGCTTGAACCGCCGACCTTGCAGTTCCAACGGCTTTGCAGTCGGGTCCATTAACCCACAGTGCCACAGCAGGACTCCTGCGTGGTAGGAAGCCCTTAATCCTCCTTTATTCTCTTTTCCCATCCTGACCCTTTTACCCTAGACTGGCAACCTAGGATTTCTAGACTGTGGTAGCACTGTCCTCCCCAAGCTGTAAAATGTCTTCCTTTAGCTCTGGAATGGCAAACGCCATCACCTACAGGGGCCAGCCACCACTCATCTGTCAGTTTGTCATACTGTGGTGGCCTGCATGTTGCGGTGATGCTGAAAGCTATGCCACCAGTATTTTAAATATCAGCGGGGTCACCCCATGGTGGATGGGTTTCAGCAGAGCTTCCTGACTAAGACAGATTAGGAAGAAGAAGAGGCAGATACTGACTGTTTAGCCACAAAAACGTTATGAATAGCAGAGGAATATTGTCAGATATAGTGCAAGATGAAAACATGAACAGCACCAGAATATAGTCAGATATAGTGCCAGAAGATGAGCCCCTCATGTTGGAAGGCACTCAAGATACAACTGGGGAAGAGCTGCCTCCTCAAAGTGGAGTTAACCACAATGACATAAATGGAGTAAAGCTTCCAGGACCTTCATTTGCTGAAGGGGCACAATTTAAAATGAGGAGTACCTGCTGCAAACATGTGAGAACATGAAATGTACAAAGTATGAATCTAGGAAAAATGGAAGCTGTCAAAAATGAAATGGAATGCATCAACATCGGTATCTTAGGTGTCAGTGAGCTGCAATGGACTGGTATTGGCCATTTTGAATTAAAAAAAAAAAAATCATAGTTTAGTACACCAGGAACAACAAGTGAAGAGGAATGGCATCACATTCATCATCAAAACGGACATTTCAAGATCTGTCTTGAAAAGTACAATGCTGTCTGTGATAGGATAATATTCATATGCTTAAATGGAGTCCCGATGTAGCACTATAGGATAAATACTGGACTGCTAACTGCAAGGTTGGTGGTTCAAACTCACCAGTAGCTCCTTGGAAACCCTATGCAGGGTTACTTTGAGTCACAATTGAGTTGGTGGCATTTAGCAACATAAACTCTGCCTCCCCTCACTGTCCATAGAATAACCTGTTGTTCTAATTTGTCCCTTTCAGACACATACTCTCTATTGCATTTTCATACAGCTCTGCTTTGATGTGAGACAGCCTGCACTCTTTGAGATGGCTGAGCCTCTGCTATTTGTCCTCTTGCTTGCCTTCTCTTTTTGGTGTTAAATGCTGTCAAGTTGGCTCCAACTCATAGCAAGCCTATGCACAATGTTGCCTGATCTTGTGCCATCCTCACAGTTGAGCCCATTACTGCAGCCACTGTGCCAATCCATCTCATTGGGGGGAATCTTCCTTTTTTTTCACTGGCCTTCCCTTAATCTGTCCATACTTTTGTCCCTTTATTAAAGTCTATTCAGTTGAATCATCAGGGATGAATTTGGTTCCTTGTTCGGGCCCTGGCTAATTCAGCTTTACCATTTACCATCTAGCTAACCTCAGCAAACGTCATTATGATCAGCATCAAAATAATAATGCCAACAAGTACCTCTTGACTGAAGGCTTTGCATAGGTCAGACACTGAATAAAGTGCTTTCGTTAGATTGTTTCATTAAGTACTCATCAGACCTACCTCAGTGTATTGCTCCCATTTTACTGATGAAGAAACTAAAGCTTAGAGCAATTAAAATTTTTGCTTTAAATCACATAACCAGGGAGTGAATCAAGAGCTGATCTGTCTAATGCCAGACTTTCTGTTGGGGTTGAACCTATGAGACCTTATTTTGGATGACAGTCTTTGCAGATGTGGTCAAGTTAAGATGAAGTGTTACAGCTTCATTTAGATGGGCTGTAAATCCAATGACAGATGTTCTTTTAAGAAGGGGCATTTTGGAGACACACAGACATAGGGATGAAGGCCCTGTGGTGGTAGAATCAGAGATTACTGTGTCTTAAGAGCCAAGGAACACCAAGGAATTATTGGCAACCACCAGAACCTGGAACAGCGAAGGGAGGACCCTTCCCTGGAGCATGGTCCTGCTAACACCTTGACTTTGAACTTACAGCCTTCCAAATGTGAAAAAATACATTTCTGTGTTTTAAGCCACCCAGGGTTGTTTTTGTTTTTTTTTCAGTATCTCAACTTTGTTTTTTTTTTTTTTTTTTTTTTTCAGAAGACGGCATACGAGATGAATTGCTGTGACTGGAGTTCAGTTTTTTACACATCCTATCGTATTTGTTTCATTGCAATGACTACAATCCCCTCCACCCGTCATCATTCAACAGTATTTGCTTGCATTCCCTCTGGCTCCACGTGTCATCATTCAACAGTATTTGCTTGCATTCCCTCTGGCTCCTCAGGTGGTGCTGTGTTTTTGTAAAAAAAAAACACTCCATTTTGATACTTTGTTAGGACAGCCCTACGAAATGAATACATTTTCCCTCTGTTTTATAATAAACGTGGTAGAATGAGCTCCAGTAGGAGTCTTTCCTGCTTTGTTTTGACCACTGCCTAGCTGTGTAACCCTGGGAAAGCAAGCCCCTTATTGCTTGAAAGGTGGATTTTTTTAGATACTTTGTAAACTGTAATGTACCATAGTTATGTAAAGGATTGAAAATTATCACTATCATGATTGCTTTGTTTTTATCTCTACCCAACAAAGTAACTGTTTTAAGCATAAACAGGTGAATATGCTCTAGAAATCTCAAGTAGCAAATTCATACCTAGAGGGCAAAAGTAGCAACTCAGTCACTATGGGCCTCTCAGGATAAATGTGGAGGTTCTGAATGGGGCTCCAGCTGAGGTTTAAAATCAAGACAAAGAGTTTCTGACTCCTATATGAGAAACCAGACACTGACCCTTATGTGAAGTGTGTAAAACCCTGGCAAAAACCAGCCTGCTCCCTAGACATGACTCTGGAAGCTCTTCAAGTAAAACCTTCTTGTTGTTATATGTTGTCAAGTCCCTGTTTGCCTCATAACAATACACATGATGGAGCAGAGCTGCTCTTGCAGGCTTTTGCTGGCTGTCATGGTTATGGGAGCAGAAAGCATGAAGGCTTTCTCCTACAGGGTTGCTGGGTAGGGTCTAACCACCAACCTTTTGGTTAGCAGCCCAGCTGCCAAACTGTTAATACTTTCAGAGAAGGAATTGAGTTCCTTTCTTCAGTCTAATACAAACCAGTCTGTGCTGGGCACTGAGGACCCAGAGATGAATACGGCATGGTCCCTGCTGTGACAGCTAAGTCTTTCTCTTAGAAATTTCTCCTAATGCAGGTTCGGATAACA